CTAAACCAGGATCAAACCAGGACTAAACCAGGACTAAACCAGGATCAAACCAGGACTAAACCAGGACTAAACCAGGACTAAACCAGGATCAAACCAGGACTAAACCAGGATAAAACCAGGACTAAACCAGGACTAAACCAGGACTAAACCAGGACTAAACCAGGACCAAACCAGGACCAAACCAGGACCAAACCAGGATCAAACCAGGACTAAACCAGGACTAAACCAGGACTAAACCAGGACTAAACCAGGACTAAACCAGGACCAAACCAGGACCAAACCAGGATCAAACCAGGACTAAACCAGGACTAAACCAGGACTAAACCAGGACTAAACCAGGACCAAACCAGGATCAAACCAGGACTAAACCAGGACTAAACCAGGACTAAACCAGGACTAAACCAGGACTAAACCAGGATCAAACCAGGACTAAACCAGGACTAAACCAGGATCAAACCAGGACTAAACCAGGACTAAACCAGGATCAAACCAGGACTAAACCAGGACTAAACCAGGACCAAACCAGGATCAAACCAGGACTAAACCAGGACTAAACCAGGATCAAACCAGGACTAAACCAGGACTAAACCAGGATCAAACCAGGACTAAACCAGGACTAAACCAGGATCAAACCAGGACTAAACCAGGACTAAACCAGGACTAAACCAGGACTAAACCAGGACTAAACCAGGATCAAACCAGGACTAAACCAGGACTAAACCAGGACTAAACCAGGACTAAACCAGGACCAAACCAGGATCAAACCAGGACTAAACCAGGACTAAACCAGGACTAAACCAGGACTAAACCAGGACCAAACCAGGACCAAACCAGGACCAAACCAGGACCAAACCAGGACCAAACCAGGACCAAACCAGGATCAAACCAGGATCAAACCAGGACTAAACCAGGACTAAACCAGGACTAAACCAGGACTAAACCATGACTAAACCAGGACTAAACCAGGACAAAACCAGGACTAAACCATGACTAAACCATGACTAAACCATGACTAAACCAGGACTAAACCAGGACCAAACCAGGACTAAACCAGGACTAAACCAGGATCAAACCAGGACTAAACCAGGACTAAACCAGGACTAAACCAGGACTAAACCAGGACTAAACCAGGACCAAACCAGGACCAAACCAGGACCAAACCAGGACCAAACCAGGACTAAACCAGGATCAAACCAGGATCAAACCAGGACTAAACCAGGACTAAACCAGGACTAAACCAGGACTAAACCAGGACTAAACCAGGATCAAACCAGGATCAAACCAGGACTAAACCAGGACTAAACCAGGACTAAACCAGGACTAAACCATGACTAAACCAGGACTAAACCAGGACAAAACCAGGACTAAACCATGACTAAACCAGGATCAAACCAGGACTAAAGCAGGACTAAAGCATGACTAAACCATGACTAAACCATGACTAAACCATGACTAAACCATGACTAAACCAGGACTAAACCAGGACTAAACCAGGACTAAACCAGGACTAAACCATGACTAAACCAGGACTAAACCAGGACAAAACCAGGACTAAACCATGACTAAACCATGACTAAACCATGACTAAACCATGACTAAACCATGACTAAACCAGGACAAAACCAGGACAAAACCAGGACTAAACCATGATCAAACCAGGACTAAACCATGACTAAACCATGACTAAACCATGACTAAACCATGACTAAACCATGACTAAACCAGGACTAAACCAGGACTAAACCAGGACTAAACCAGGATCAAACCAGGATCAAACCAGGACTAAACCAGGACTAAACCAGGACTAAACCAGGACTAAACCAGGACTAAACCAGGACTAAACCAGGACCAAACCAGGATCAAACCAGGACTAAACCAGGACTAAACCAGGACTAAACCAGGACTAAACCAGGACCAAACCAGGACCAAACCAGGACCAAACCAGGACCAAACCAGGACCAAACCAGGATCAAACCAGGATCAAACCAGGACTAAACCAGGACTAAACCAGGACTAAACCAGGACTAAACCAGGACTAAACCAGGATCAAACCAGGACTAAACCAGGACTAAACCAGGACTAAACCATGACTAAACCAGGACTAAACCAGGACAAAACCAGGAGTAAACCAGGACTAAACCAGGATCAAACCAGGACCAAACCAGGACTAAACCAGGACTAAACCAGGATCAAACCAGGACTAAACCAAGACTAAATCAGGACTAAACCAGGACTAAACCAGGACTAAACCAGGACCAAACCAGGATCAAACCAGGACCAAACCAGGACTAAACCAGGATCAAACCAGGACTAAACCAGGACTAAACCAGGACTAAACCAGGATCAAACCAGGATCAAACCAGGACCAAACCAGGACCAAACCAGGATCAAACCAGGACTAAACCAGGACTAAACAGGACTAAACCAGGACTAAACCAGGACCAAACCAGGATCAAACCAGGACCAAACCAGGACCAAACCAGGATTAAACCAGGACTAAACCAGGACTAAACCAGGACTAAACCAGGACTAAACCAGGACCAAACCAGGACCAAACCAGGATCAAACCAGGACTAAACCAGGACTAAACCAGGACTAAACCAGGATCAAACCAGGATCAAACCAGGACCAAACCAGGACCAAACCAGGATCAAACCAGGACTAAACCAGGACTAAACAGGACTAAACCAGGACTAAACCAGGACCAAACCAGGATCAAACCAGGACCAAACCAGGACCAAACCAGGATTAAACCAGGACTAAACCAGGACTAAACCAGGACTAAACCAGGACTAAACCAGGACCAAACCAGGACCAAACCAGGATCAAACCAGGACTAAACCAGGACTAAACCAGGACTAAACCAGGACTAAACCAGGACCAAACCAGGATCAAACCAGGACTAAACCAGGACTAAACCAGGACTAAACCAGGACTAAACCAGGATCAAACCAGGACTAAACCAGGACTAAACCAGGATCAAACCAGGACTAAACCAGGACTAAACCAGGATCAAACCAGGACTAAACCAGGACTAAACCAGGACTAAACCAGGACTAAACCAGGACTAAACCAGGACTAAACCAGGATCAAACCAGGACTAAACCAGGACTAAACCAGGACTAAACCAGGACTAAACCAGGACTAAACCAGGACTAAATCAGGACCAAACCAGGACTAAACCAGGACTAAACCAGGACTAAACCAGGACTAAACCAGGACCAAACCAGGACCAAACCAGGACCAAACCAGGACTAAACCAGGATCAAACCAGGATCAAACCAGGACTAAACCAGGACTAAACCAGGACTAAACCAGGATCAAACCAGGATCAAACCAGGACTAAACCAGGACTAAACCAGGACTAAACCAGGACTAAACCATGACTAAACCATAACTAAACCAGGACTAAACCAGGACAAAACCAGGACTAAACCATGACTAAACCAGGATCAAACCAGGACTAAAGCAGGACTAAACCATGACTAAACCATGACTAAACCATGACTAAACCATGACTAAACCATGACTAAACCAGGACTAAACCAGGACTAAACCAGGACTAAACCAGGACTAAACCAGGACTAAACCATGACTAAACCAGGACTAAACCAGGACAAAACCAGGACTAAACCAGGACTAAACCATGACTAAACCATGACTAAACCATGACTAAACCATGACTAAACCATGACTAAACCATGACTAAACCATGACTAAACCAGGACAAAACCAGGACTAAACCATGATCAAACCAGGACTAAACCATGACTAAACCATGACTAAACCATGACTAAACCATGACTAAACCATGACTAAACCATGACTAAACCAGGACTAAACCAGGACTAAACCAGGACTAAACCAGGACAAAACCAGGACTAAACCATGACTAAACCATGACTAAACCATGACTAAACCAGGACTAAACCAGGACTAAACCAGGACTAAACCAGGACTAAACCAGGACTAAACCAGGCTAACCCAGGGCTGAGGACTGGGGTCAGTGCTTGTAAACATGTCTTCACTGTGGATCTATAATAACACGTCTTCACCCTGAGTTTCTACTATGACTGTGAGTGCGGCTACAGAACGAAAGGCGGTGCTTAAATGCAAATTATTTCATAATTCATGCAGTTTTTCATGAACATCAACATACATTGTAGATATAAAGAATCCTCAATATATTTAGAAATAAATGTTTTTTGTAGGTAGATCATTTTGACTTGATCATTTTATAAGTAGCTCACATGCTGAAAAAGTGTGAGCACCCCTGGTATAGTTCGAATGCACACATCAAAGTGTCTGTGGAGGAGGAGGAGGAGGAGGAGGAGGAGGAGGAGGAGGAGGAGGAGGAGGAGGAGGAGGAGGAGGAGGAGGAGGAGGAGGAGGAGGAGGAGGAGGAGGAGGAGGAGGAGGAGGAGGAGGAGGAGGAGGAGAGGAGGAGGAGGAGTGTCTGTGGTCAGAGTGTGTGGAGACGAAGTCCGTCTGATCCTCCACAAGGAACATGTGTTTAAGTTTATGTATTCAGTCATTATTCAAAGGTAAACTAAAAATCCATGTGAAAAATTACTTCTCACTGTTCTCAGGACAAATATTTATATGCGATTAAAATGCGATTAATCGAGATTAATTAATTACAAAGCCTCTAATTAATTATATTAATTTTACAGCCCTAATTACAACAGCAACCATTGGTTTCCATTCCCACAGCCAATGAGGAGAGTGTTTTATGAATCAAATGCCCCAAACCTCGTGTCCTCAGCGGCTGCAGCTGACCGCTCCGACACATGGACAATATTATGAATAAAAGCAGAATGTTCTCTTCCTCATCACCAACGACTTCATCTTAATGTGACGCATGGCGCCGTAAAGATGGCGCCGTGGCAAGAGCTCTGGTGTGTGTCGTCTGGTGCACACTGGGGTAGTCTTGCACAGTTTTTCCTATGTGGTTTTACTGCAAATGGCAAATAAATGAATCTGAATCTGAATCTTTTCAGTCGGACCCAGACCAAGGGACCGGATCTCCTCTTCGGAGCCCTTCTCCCATGGAGGATGTCTTCCTTGGCTCTCCCCCAGGCCACGCCCCTCCTCCTCCCCCTTACATGCCCCCACAGCCCTCCATTGAGGAGGCCCGGCAGCAGATGCACTCCCTGTTGGACGACGCTTTTGCCCTTGTGTCGCCCACCTCTCAGGGCAGCACTGCAGGCATCACTCTCCCAGGGGTCAATGGCAACCATTCAGGCTCCAGCCACCCTGGACACTGGGGTCTTTCATACCCAACACCGGGACCTTTTTCTAATGTAAGTTCCTCCTGCAGTGGTTAAATCCATACATCTATATTCTTTTTGTGGGCAGTGGGGATCTTTATAATTTTGGACTATGAGAACAGACAGTTCAGAATTCAGTGTTTTCCCCTGAAGTAAAGTAACTCACTTAAAATTGCATCTTCTGTACAAACTAATTAGTTAAGCATCTCTCCATCTGTCACTTCATTGGACCGCTGACCTTATACCCAGCTTTCTACGACTGCAAAGTCTCCTGTAATACATGCTACACATGCTTGATCTGCATTAGCAGCACTTAGTGAGGACGGGGCTTGGACAAATAAACAAGAAGTATGACATGCTTTCTTCACCTGCTGCAGAGAACAGCTTATACAGTCAGTTTGTGCATGGGCTTACCAACACAAATATTTACAGTATACACTATAGATGTATTTTTTGCATACAAATATTGTTCTCACTTCCTGTGCAGAGGTTTAGTGATGTGTCTCCACCCTCAGTGCAAGGCCGACCACCAAGGTAAGCTGAACAACAACTTATTTATACTTTTCAATACATTTCTATCTGAAGCTAGTTTAACTTCTGCAGTGATATCATTCTCATAGACTGCATAGACATGCTGCAGGAGCTTCATCCATTATCAAACACTATCATGTTTATTTTATTGCTTTAATGGGTCAGATCCTGGTAGCGGTCTGGCTCATAAATCCATGATCCGCATCACACACATACTGAATACTGTGTGCGTCACTTACTAGAATACAGAACTAGACTTTTAGAGGAGTGGTTCTGGGCCGCACACACTGAATAAAATGCATTGTGGTGTATTTCAGACAGGGCCTTGGCTCGAGCTTCCTTCCTCCTGGAGAATCGGCAGCACTCACTGACCAGCTCCAAGAGGACAGCCTGTACTCCAGCAGGGGCCTCTACGCTGATGAGCTGCCTTCCTCTGCCAGACCCAGGCCAGTGGGCAGCACGGCAGGTACAGGCCTGACTCCCATCTCCTCTCAGTCCTCCTTCTGCTCAAACAGAGAGAGTGGCTTTGTTTTGTTGGTATGCTGTATGTTCTGACAATGGCTGATGTGTGCAGGGGTCCACCATCTCACTCAGGTGGGCCTGCCCAGTCGGATGAACGGATACCCTGCAGGAGGGAGAGCCGCTCTGGGCCTTAATGGTGGAATTGGCTGGAATCCTTATAGTGACAACTTTAGCAGGGCTGAACTGGAAAAATATTCTGTATGTATCTCTGTTCTCATTTCACCTTCCTTTAAAACTAACAATTTTACACTTTGTCTTTAATACTAACATCTATTCTCCTTTCTTCTCTTTTCTATCCTCAGTACCTGGACTATCATGATTACTCTGTCTTACAGATGGCTCAAAGTGGTATGAGGGAGTCTGCACTGCCTCCCCATCTCGACACATCTGGGGTGGGCTACTTATCAGCGCCTCCTCCCCTGGATCCCGCTCCCCCACACTCCTCTGCCTCTCTGATAAAGGCCATCCGAGAAGAGCTCTTACGCCTCTCTCAGAAACAGGCCGCTGTGTGCAGCTACCACAGCTAGAAACAGTCACACCACTGACCACAAACATATTGCTTCCCGTGGAAGTCCCAAAGACTGTACAGCTCAACTAACAAATACACATTCAGTCATGAGACTCGCAACAGAATGTTTAGACGGTGGATTAATAAACTATGAATGCTGCATCTCAAAGATCCTATGGTTTGGCTTGATGTGGAAAATCTAGATCACATGTTCCTAACCAGCACCAAGTGAGGAAGCTCCGTGGCATAATCACTCTAACGACTTTTGTGGACTCTAACTGGACGGCTGAGGCCTTTATGCCCTGTTGTCATTACTCACTGGTCTGTTCATTATATTTTCTTTCAAACCATTTGAGTATTTGTTCATGTCTGATGCTTGGTTGGTTTGGTGCTACATGCTAACCCTTCCCCATGTGTTCTGCCGTTATGAGCCTAGACACTGTGATCTTTGTCAGAGCAGTGAGAGGTGCTCACTACTGGAGAACTGTGTCACATTTCCTTTTTAGTCCAATGTGAATTGCTTTTATACATACACATTTTGACACATTTTTACATTGTTGATTGCATTTAGTAGCAGACTCCTTGATAAATCTGAAAATGGCCTTGAAGTGTTCTTCAAATATGACTGAAGGGTCAGTTACAGCTTTGACTTGACCGACTTGATGTAGGTCGTAATAGTAGCACTGAATGCAGACTACTTGGAGCAGCTCAGGTTGTTGCTTTAACGGACAGATATTGTAAATCATGGAGAAATTCTCTGAAAGACTTTAGTCAATCCCAAAAAGGTGCATTCCACAACTCGGAGGGTGGGGGGTCTGCTTTTACTTGTATCCTTCTTAATCTCTTTTGGAGACGAGCAAACTCGTTACAGGTCTTATCTGCAGAGAGGAGAGCTGACCCGATGTACGAAAAATATACAACATTAAGTTTAAAATCATTCTAAAGGGTACGTTCCAAGCAAACAAAGTGTTTCCATGGCAACAAGCAGGCAGCAGACTGTCAGAGAAGTTGGGAAATGCACCTTTAATGATTCATACCAAATCTAACACAATGCAGTATTTATTTGTTTTGCCTTTTTGAGATATACAATAAAACTGTATAATATTTTGTACCTTTTACATGTTTTCATTGGGAACATTCCTTCATGCGACACTGCCCTCCCTGGTTTGAGTTGGCTGTAAAAGTATTTGATTATGGATTAGATTATATACAGAGAGTGAGAAATAGTCAAACTTAAAGTAAAATGAAATGATCACAGTCAGTATAATTATAAAAGTAAAAGGTGTGAATTATGTGATGCAGAATTGTACTTCAGCCCGGGGAGGTACTACAGCACGTCATTTTGGCCACTTTTGAGCCGGGACCCTCTGGTCTTCTCCCGAAGCGCATTATCGCTAAATAAAAGCAGGGATTCCTAATTTCCCTTGCACTACCAGTTCATGTCGGTTGTGCCTAAAAGTAAAATGGTGTGAGCAAATCAAACCGATTTAATGACATTCTGCATTTCAGACTTTTTTGAAATGTCCCTCATCTGTAACAGACTATAGTTTTGGTCTGAGTCTAAGCAACACAGAATGTTCATAATGTTAATGCCCTTTTATATGGATTAATTGTTGTTATAATAATCAAATACAGTACATACACTGTCATTTATCTTTCCATTCAAATACACATTTACACAAAAATATGGCATCATTTTGTTGATAGTTTGAAATGCAATTAATTGCGATTCATTAATTTTTAAGCTGTAATTAACTCAAAAAAATGTTTTAATTGTTTGACAGCAATTGTATTATGTAATTTAACACCTGTGGTTTATAGGATTTGAGCAATCATTACATTAATAGTAATCTCCTTTTTGTCTCATGATCACATTTCATTATCCTCTCCTTGCCGACCCGCTGTGAAATGGCAAACTGGGAGAAGAGTAATCCACAAAAGACAAAAACTTGCTAAACTCTACAATATCCGTGACCTGATTTAAATGCAGACATGGGCCCGCCTCTGGGCGGCACCTGGCTCCACCCCCAGGTCTATAATTACAGCCTCATAGCACCTGCTCTGTCTCCTGAGCTCAATTTGGAGATTTTCTTTATCAGTGGTGAACTACGTAAATGTGAATTTGATTTGCTACTTTGTGTTTTACTTTCTCAGATTATCTGGTGCTCTGACTTACAGTCTCAGCCTCAGCCTCAGCCTCAGTCTCAGCCTCAGCCTCAGCCTCAGTCTCAACCTCAGCCTCAGCCTCAGTCTCAGCCTCAGCCTCAGCCTCAGCCTCAGCCTCAGTCTCAGCCTCAGCCTCAGCCTCAGCCTCAGCCTCAACCTCAGCCTCAGCCTCAGTCTCAGCCTCAGTCTCAGCCTCAGCCTCAGCCTCAGTCTCAGTCTCAGCCTCAGCCTCAGCCTCAGCCTCAGCCTCAGTCTCAGCCTCAGCCTCAGCCTCAGCCTCAGCCTCAGCCTCAGCCTCAGCCTCAGCCTCAGTCTCAGCCTCAGCCTCAGCCTCAGCCTCAGCCTCAGTCTCAGCCTCAGCCTCAGCCTCAGCCTCAGCCTCAGTCTCAGCCTCAGCCTCAGCCTCAGCCTCAGCCTCAGTCTCAGTCTCAGCCTCAGCCTCAGCCTCAGCCTCAGCCTCAGCCTCAGCCTCAGTCTCAGCCTCAGTCAAGTCATTCTCGGCCCACATCTACAAAATCTTTCTAACCTACTGCGCTATGTCTTGTTATTCTAAGTTTGGCCTGTAGATGGAGCCATAGCTAGTTTGGGCCAGTAGTCTGGCAAATCATTAGGCAAGGCAAGTTTATTTGTATAGCACAATTCATACACAAGGCAACTCAAAGTGCTGAACAAGATAGCATTAAAATCATAAATAATCACCATACATTAAAAAGAAAGATAAAAATATAAAATCCCTCAGTTGTAGCACAGCTAAACAGAACTGTCTTTAACCTGGTTTTAAACAGTCAGAGAGGAGGCCTGTCTCACATCTTCAGGAAGACTGTTCCAGATTTTAGCAGCATGAATCTGAAAAGCAGCCTCCCCATGTTTAGTTCTGACTCTGGGCACTAACAGGAGTCCAGTCCCTGTGCTCCTCAGAGTCCCAGCAGGAGTCCAGTCCCTGTGCTCCTCAGAGTCCCAGCAGGAGTCCAGTCCCTGTGCTCCTCAGAGTCCCAGCAGGAGTCCAGTCCCTGTGCTCCTCAGAGTCCCAGCAGGAGTCCAGTCCCTGTGCTCCTCAGAGTCCCAGCAGGAGTCCAGTCCCTGTGCTCCTCAGAGTCCCAGCAGGAGTCCAGTCCCTGTGCTCCTCAGAGTCCCAGCAGGAGTCCAGTCCCTGTGCTCCTCAGAGTCCCAGCAGGAGTCCAGTCCCTGTGCTCCTCAGAGTCCGGGCTGGTTCATATGGGACTAACATGTCACTAACATATTTTGGTGCGAGGCCATGGAGAGACTTGTAACAAGCAGAGCTGTTTTAAAGTCTATTCTCTGAGCCACAGGAAGCCAGTGCAGAGACCTGAGGACCGGACTAATGTGGTCGTACTTCCTGGTTCTAGTCAGGACTAATGTGGTCGTACTTCCTGGTTCTAGTCAGGACTAATGTGGTCGTACTTCCTGGTTCTAGTCAGGACTAATGTGGTCGTACTTCCTGGTTCTAGTCAGGACTAATATGGTCGTACTTCCTGGTTCTAGTCAGGACTAATGTGGTCGTACTTCCTGGTTCTAGTCAGGACTAATGTGGTCGTACTTCCTGGTTCTAGTCAGGACTAATATGGTCGTACTTCCTGGTTCTAGTCAGGACTAATGTGGTCGTACTTCCTGGTTCTAGTCAGGACTAATGTGGTCGTACTTCCTGGTTCTTGTCAGGACTAATATGGTCGTACTTCCTGGTTCTAGTCAGGACTAATGTGGTCGTACTTCCTGGTTCTAGTCAGGACTCGAGCTGCTGCATTTTGAATGTACTGCAGCTGTTTTACAGCCTGTTTGGACAGACCTGTGAGCAGGCCATTGCAGTAGTCTAACCTACTGGAGACAAATGCATGGATAAGAATCTCCAGGTCTGCTTTAGACACTATGTTTTTGATCCTGGCAATGTTTTTTAGATGGTAAAAAGCTGCTGATGTTACTGATTTGATGTGGCTATTAAAATTTAAGTCTGAGTCCAGTATTACCCCTAGATTTCTGACCTTGTTTGAAGGTTTTAGGGAGAGAGACTGTAGATGACAGATGACGCTCTCTCTTTGTTTCTGGGGACCAAAGACAATCATTTCAGTTTTGTCTGCGTTTAGCAGAAGGAAGTTTGACGGTGTCAAAGGCAGCACTCAGATCTAACAGGATTAAGATTGAGACTTTGCCTGCGTCAGTGTTCAGCCGGATATCGTTTGTAACCTTAACGAGAGCAGTCTCAGTGCTGTGGTGGGGTCTAAAGCCGGACTGAAACATATCAAATGAGTTGTTGATTATAAGAAATCTAGTAAGCTGTAGGTAGACAACTTTTTCAAGGACTTTCCCCATAAATGGCAGATTTGAGATGGGACGATAGTTGTTAAGTACCGTAGCATCCAGACTGCTCTTTTTTAGCAGGGGCCTGATGACTGCAGTTTTCAGGGCCTTTGGGAATATTCCAGAATGAAGGGACATGTTTACTATCTGTGTGAGTGAAGGTAACAGACTGCTCAGAACAGACTTCAGAAGTCTAGTGGGTAGTACATCCAAGCTGCATGTGGAGGAGCTCAAACTGGAGATTATCTCTTGGACAGTTTTATCATTTACAGGTGCAAAGTAAGTTAGCTCAGAGAGCCTTTCTGGCTGTTGGATGGTTATCTGTGGATTGGAGACAATGGCGTTTTTGATGCCTTGACTAGGGGTGCAACGGTTTGAAAAAATCAAATCATGGTTCGGTTCATTTTTCAAAAAAAAAGTTTTCTTTTTAATAAACACAGCTCATGTGGACTCGGCACCTGCTCTGACTGCCCCCCCCCCCCCCTGACCTAGAAATGAATTAATCCAATCCAATCCAATCCAGTCTATTTATAAAGCACT